TTAAAAAAAAAATATATATATATATACTATATATATTTGTTGTTATTCATATATATATAGTCAGCTGCTATCTGCTATTCACGAGCTGAGCATAGCCCGCATAGTCCCAAAACTGAGATATCAGCAAATATGAGTTTTCCCTTTCAATTCGACGTTTTTCTTTTCTTTATATTTCGCTTTTTTTCGGTGTTGGCTGCGCCTTTTGCTGACAGCCGCTTTTGAAAAGCAAATAATATGAGTTTCGGTTTATATTACACAGCTCGCTGCCTAAATTTTTGTTGCTTTTCTTTTTACATTGCTGGGGGTATTTCTATGCTCATTCACGGAAATTGAATGAGTATTTGGGTTTTGTGCAATCTCTGGCCAGATGTCTATAAGGAAAGATGGTATTGGGGTTAGACACTAGAGAATTTTGTTATATGTTCTTAAACTATAAATTATTTACATAAATACCAACGAGGGCGTGGCAAATTGTAAACTAGATTTGATACCAATTTGAGCTGTGAATGAGTATTCTGCAGTCGGTAACACCTGACTGCAGGCAGCGTTCTGAAATATTTTCTTTTTGCTGTTTTTCTGTCTTTTTGTACATTTAGCTGCATTTGAATGAAGTCGACAACGGCGTCAACGTTTATGCACGAAATGTGTTTTTAATGAAGCCTTTTAACCAGTTCGCTTGCCCCGGCCTAATAAAGACAGCGGCGACGCCAGCAGCGCGTTCTGTCAGCCGCCCATCACTTATTTTATGGTATATTTTTTACCCTCTCTCCCGACCTCTCTCACACTCTGATTTTGTGCCTTTGCCCATTTATATTTTATTTTTACATTTTTTTTTTTCGTTATTCTTCCCTTTTTCAATAAATCGCAAATGGGCATTTGTCCTTGCAGTGAATGGCAACGGGTAGAAATGTGCGAACTGTGTGAGCTGTGAGCTGTGGGAAAGGGATTGGGACTGGGACTGGGCCATGCTAAGGCTGTTGCTGTTGCTGTTGCCCGAAGTTTATGCAAAGTAGCTTTTAATATGTTTACGACTAAACATATTTTGGTGCGAGAAGGCGAACCGGGAGGCTGGCTGTGCACAGGTGGCGCCCCGCTCTTGCTTTTATTATACAATTTTTAATAATTCCTTTAAAAAACGATGCTGAAGCAGAAGAAGGAAATATTAAACTTTACTGCTGCAGCCGACGCCGTTTACATTTGGCCAACAACAAAAAATAAAGAAACATTTTTTTATTATAATTTATTTGCTCGGCTGCGTGGCTATATTTAAGTGGCTCAACTTTAAATGAAATGTTAATGGACCAACACAGTGGCAGATAGACCGAGAGACAGACACGCAGACAGGCAGACCGATGCCTGCAGTTAGTTTATTAAATTTCTTAAATTTTAAATATATATATAAAGTGCCTTTGTGCACGAATTAATTAAGATTTAAGCCGCTTAGAAGTTCGGCTTAGGCACACTTGACTAGGCCATGGCTGCGAGACACAAGGCCCAAGACACAAGACCCAGGAAATCCGGCACGTGTCACGTGTCGCCTCAAGTTTGAGCAGATGTAAATGAAAATACACTTTAATAGGCTTTAAGAGCTACGTTTTTCCTTTTTGTTTCCAAATAAGATTAAGCCTTTGGCGTATGTGTGGCGTATGCGTAATATTACGTATACGCCGCATCGAGCCCGCACGCGTGTTAATTGTGTTAAAATTACGAGCGGTCCACATCACGTCGTTGGAGTGCAATGCCTTAACGACCGCCTGCATACATAAAACGCAGCTGACATGGCCCTGGAGCTGGATCGTTGGGTCCGGGTCGGTTCGTGTCTATAAAGCGCAAGCCCTAGGCGCGCGCCCAAATGTAGGCAATAAAAAATGTTTAAACCCTAAATTATTGTCAGCGGAGAGCAACATGAAAGATAGAGAGAGAGAGAGAGAGAGAGTATGTGAGTGAGAGGCAGAGATGCATTATGCTTAGCTATAGCAAATGACATGGCAAGCCAAAAGTTTGCCGCTTACGCTCGGCACATTGTTTGCAGCAGCGAAATATGCGAGAAGGTTGCATGGGATGGGTCGTCGGTAGGGGGAGGTGCTTTGTGGGCGGGAATGCGTGACAGGAGACGCCACTTGATGATGAATGGATAGCACCTACGGCAATGTCGTTGACTTTGGCAAACAACTTGAAGAGCAGCCTGTGCTCTCACTCTGTCACTCTTCCTCTCTCTCTCGCTCTCTCTCTCTCTGTGGCTGTGTGTCGCTGCGCTTGAAGCTTGGGCACAAGTTTTATGGCATTCACTACTTTCAGCTGCGTGCGTTAATCTTATTTGCTACAACATTTTCGTACGCTCGGCTTGTGCGTAAATAAATGTAACAAATGTCGCCAGCTGCGAGCGTTATATATATATTATGTGTATATGTAGGGAATATACATACATATGTATGCATATAGTATATAGTATCGGCTGTGGGGCAGTTTGGCGATTTTAGCGGCATATTTTGTCTACTAAAAGCATGTCAGGGATTTTCGCCTTACAATAAAAACGTGGCACTTGGTCTATGCATAAGTCAGCCTTCAAAAAAAAAAAAAAAAAGAGGAAGCCAGTTCCTGTATGTGTGTGTGTGTGTATGAATGTGTGTCAAAGTTGTAGCCAAAGCATGCCAAGTTTCTGCTTTTGGTGCGTGTATTGAATGCAAAATTCGAAAGTTAAATATTGCACGCTCAACTGGCAAAAGAAGACAACTTTATCTTGCCTTACTCTCACTCTTTCTATTCTCATCTCTTCGCGCTTCTCCTTTGTTT